GAAAACAACCAGATTTCTGCCTGTAAAGTCAAAGCTTGCGTGGCTACGCAGTAGAAATAACCGGCCAGACGAACACACACATACATGCCCTCAAACATACAGGCTTATCACAAAATGCGCCTTTGCTGCCTGTTACAGCGCTCTAGCGTTGCACGGCAAAAACGCACAAATATCTGAATGAGGGGCTCTTTTTTCGGGGTTCCAGTGATGAGTGATTGTCCTCAGCTACCTCACGTTGATATCATCATTTTATCAACCTCTACCGACTCGATGTACCAAACAACCAGCAAAAGAAAGACAGTAAATGAAATTTAGACGAGCGACGTGATGATTCGGATTTTTACTTCACACTAATGATAGTACGGCAATTGAGCAGCTAAGTATTAGGGGGCAGAAACGGAGATATACTCACTTTCGAACGATAACTTCCAGGACTTCCTTGTGACACATATGCAGATCCGTAAGTGCTAAACTGCGTAATTTATAGGGAAACGACCTTTCGGGCATTTCATACGGTAAATCGAACAGCGCAATGATACCGTCTGGTGTAAGATCACAATCCTCACCACCACAAGATATATACAGCTCCTCCAAATTGCTCAGTTTCTGCAAGCAGTATTTCCCATAGCAACTCAGAAGTGCAAGAGCACGTATAGGAACATAAGTGGATCGAGGATGGTCTCCTGTGGGAGGGGGAGGGGGCGACAGATGGTATCAAGCAGACTTTTGTATAGTAAAACAACTGCTACCTAAGCCCCTGGGGTAGGAGGGGGAAAGGGCGAAAGTCCCTCCTCCCCCATGGATCCTCCAATGCGTATGAAGGAAGCTCTTCTCATGAAATACATATGTTAGGAAAAAGCTGCCGTTGCTGGTTGTGTAGCAACGTTTCATCCCTCAGAAACGATATTACTTGCGATATCTTATTTTCTCGCGTCTGTTTGTAGCCGATGTGAAAAGAACCTCTTCTTCAAAAACTGATGGTGACTGTATCGCCATTTCATTGCTGAGACTGGCAGACTGTCTACTGCCTGCTTCTGAATTAACGCTTATTTGTTCATCCGCACAGCCAGAGTCAAAGTTTAATGCTTTCCAAACCTATTCTTTTGAACGTTTCATCAGGATCAACTTCAGTTACAGACAGGTTCTTAGCTGCAAGAGCTAGCTTTTCATTTCAGAATATTTTAGCTTCAAACAGCAAATGAACGTATGGCCTCACACTGCTGTACAGCGTGCACTTACCTTTAAATGTATAAATTCCTCATCCCTGGTGTGTAAGCACAATAAAAGCGAAAAGATTTTTAGATTATGTAGCTCGCCAATATAACGAAAATCCTGATTATTGATGTACCATCCAAGATACAGTTCGGTAAGAGTGGACTTGAACGGCGAAGTTATTAATCCATAAAAGCTAAACTGATAAGAAAGTGTTAAAACTTACAAAACAAAACAGTAGCAGCAAATGCATTACACAGTTGGTCTTTTTTAACTCTGTGCTGGCTCTAATAAACTCATAGGGCAATCGCCAAGCTAGACTTCGAGTATCTCTCGAAGTCCGACGCCCTCGGGGACTCCTGCTTGATTAATTTTTGTCACTCTTCTGATTATGTGTAATTAGTCATTACGCAGGAACAAAAGAGCAACTGCAGCAGATGAGCTGATGTATCACATAGCAAAAAAAACGTGATATAACTAGGTTTTCAGCAAAAAAAAAAAAAAAAAAACTGAGGCAACAAAGGGAGGAAACGAATGCCGTTAAACCTACCATCCTGTGATACGACTTCATGGAGGGGTTGCTATTAGCACCGGTGCCACGATGCACTGTGAAAAAACGATAACTGTGATACTGAAGCACTTTTTTTTTAAAAAAAGTCTACTTGATTGATGTAACTTCGTGTTTCAGGCGCAATATTTCGAGTGGACGATTCCAGGACAACAGTTTTGCCGGAGCACCAGGCCCACACTTACTGATATCATCCATGAAAAAATTCCGAAGTTTTGGAAAAGTGTGCTCATCGTCGAACAACACTTTCATGAATTCCGGCCATTTGTTGCTATCGCCGTGTTCACATGCATCAGCTTTATCGGAACACTAAAACGATAAATTCCATTACTATAAAAACGAAAAAGAAGCCCAAGATGCATTTGAAAGTGAAGAAAGTGCACAGATGACCATTTTCCAGTGTCCATAATATCCTGACCACCTTGACGAATGTAGCTGGCTAAGTATTAATTTTTTGTTAACGTCTCATACAGGAAGACCTACCTGCCTCAAGCCCTCTATGTGCAGCGTCTCGACATTCGGAAAGCATCCAGCAAGCCTGAGCAACAAATCGATACTTATGTCTGCAAACAATTAATCAGATAAAAAAGCACCACTGCTCAGCTTTCTTGGATGAGGTGAAAAAAGTTAGATATCTATAAAACAAAAGAATAGTATTTTCTCGAGAAAACTTTCAAAGGCAAATTATAATTAAACAAAATACTATTATTTATTTCACGACCTCCTACAAAATTTTGCTTCCGAAAGGCATCACACCACGCGTCTGACAACGAAATCAAT